GAGACGGCTGGAGCTGCAGGGCTGTCAGGGCTCAGCGGAAGCACCAGGATCAGCGCCAGGATCCAGCTGGAAAGCAGCACTGATCCTGGTGCTTCTGCTGAGCCCAGAAGAAGCACCGATCAGCTGGAATGTTGCAGCCTCTCCAGGGTCTTGTGATTTACATTCAGAGGCTTGGCAACTGATTCATAGTTATGACGGTCACAGTGTCCCAGGCTCAGGTGATGTGACCAAAACCTGCTGCAACCACCCAGCAGACGGGGGGAATAAAAACCACACCCCACCCCACCCCACCCGCACTGCCAATCCTCAACAGAAATGCTCACAACAATGAAAACCTCAAGACAGGAGGAAGAGCGCGGCCGGGCGGGCAGGCAGGCGTCTTGCTCGGCTGTGGCTTGGGGGGCACTTTTTTCAGTGCCATTGTAACTTCGAACAGTCACTAAGCAAACTGTTGTAAGTCGAGGACTACCTCTACTTTATCACTTTTTTCCTTTTGGGGGGGTCATCAAGTTTTTTGACCCCTTGCTAGGCGACTGGTGGTCCTCGGATGTTGCCATATGCTAAAAGTGGTACAATGGGTGGAAAGGTTGAAAAGCCCTGCATTAAATCCATGGAAAAAATGGAAATCATAAAATATCCACTTGCTGGTTGGAGACAAAGTCCCTGAATCCTACAATCCCTTGTTGACTTGATAATGACAAGGCGCAACGACTCTTGTCAAAATGAGAATTGTTTTACAAAAGTGTTATGCCTTTGTTTCTGCATCTCTCTTCTGCAAGAATCCAGGGGGGGGGGGGTTTCCTGGAAAACAGGGAACCGATCTGCTAGGGTGGGCATTTCTCTCTCTTAGCCCAGCCCACCTCTTCTTCTTCTTCTTTTTTCTTTTTTTCCTGAAAGGGATCACATCCTTCTGTTTGACATGTTGTTGGGAATGGTTGCTAGGGAGAAGGGGGGTTCTGTTACAACCAGCCAGGCTTGCTCTAATAATACCCTACTCCGTGCATAGCTTAGGAGCAGACACCTCTCAAGCTATAAAGAGCCTGCCCATTTCAGCGGAGGATATACTTTCACTTAAGTTACACCCCCGGAGTTTGCAGGCTGGCCAGTTCACCTCCTGGCTCCACACAGCCCGAGAGATGGGAGGGCTAATATTTATAACAATGGCTAGCAGGAGCTTCCCAAGAAAAATACGCCTCCCGCTTCCAACAATTGGGAATCAAGATTTAGCACTGCTTTATGTCTAGTTTAATGAAGAGAAGGACGAGGGGGGACATGATAGCAGTCTTCCAGTATTTCAGGGGCTGCCCCAAAGAAGAGGGAGTCAAGCTATTTTCCAAAGCTCCTGAAGGCAGGAAAAGAAGCAATGGGTGGAAACTAATCAAAGACAGAAGCAACCTGGAACTCAGGAGAAATTCCCTGACAGTGAGAACAATTAACCAGTGGAACTACCAGCCTCCAGAAGCTGTGAATGCGCCAACACTGGAGGTTTTCAAGAAGAGACTGGACAGCCAATTGACTGAAATGGTGTAGGGTTTTCTGCCTGAGCAGGGGGTTGGACTAGATGACCTTCAAGGTCCCTTCCAACTCTATTATTATTATTATTATTATTATTATTATTATTATTATTATTATTATTAATCATTGCACAGTCAGCCAGATGTTCAGACTGGATTTGGCATTACTACTACTACTACTACTACTACTATTATTATTATTATTATTATGCCTTGGTAAGACTAGATCTGGAAGAAGTGCTTGGACAGACCCCACGCCTCATATGAACACAGCATCCTTCGTTCAACTCTTCCCCACAACAACAAACCCTGGGAGGTGGGATAAGAGGCAGCCCACCGGCCCATCATCATCCAGATTGTGTCCATGGCTGATGATGGGTCACAACTTATCTCCTAATTCAAGATTTTAATGTCTAAACCAGGGCTCTTCAAACTTGGCCGCTTTAAGACTTGTGGACTTCAACTCCCAGAATTCCTCAGCCAGCCCTATAAAGTGTGTATAGTCAAGGCCATGGTTTTCCCAGTTGCCATGTATGGCTGTGAAAGTTGGACCACAAGAAAGGCTAAGCGCCAAAGAAGTGAGGCCTTTGAACTCTGGTGCTGGAGAAGACTCCTGCGAGTCCCCTGGACTGCAAGGCGATCCAACCGGTCAGTCCTGGAGGAGATCAACCCCAACGGCTCTTTAGAAGGCCAGATCCTGAAGTGGAGACTCAAGTCCTTTGGCCACCTAATGAGAAGGAAGGACTCCCTGGAGAAGAGCCTGATGCTGGGAAAGATGGAGGGCAAGAGAAGAAGAAGGGGACGGCAGAGAAGGAGGGGGCTGGATGGAGTCCCTGAAGCAGGAGGCCTGAGCTTCAATGGACTCCAGAAGATGGGAGAGGACAGGAAGGCCTGGAGGAACGTGGTCCATGGGGTCGCGATGGGTCGGACATGACTTCGCAACTAACAACAACAACACAACAACAACAACGAAGTCTTAAAGTTGCCAAGTTTGAAGACCCCTGGTCTAAACAATGCCGGGCTTTGGTAACTGAGGTCTATCGGGGTTTGTGTAGACCTGAGAATTTTTCACGGGGATGGAAAACAACCGCTACTCCCTCGCCGGAACCAAAATAGAACTTGGTCTATTTAACTCAGCCCTCAAAAGGGACCCAAATATACACCAAGCTGGGAGACGAGGAAATCTGCTCCAGAATCTGTTCTCCACCAGGAGGGAAAAGATGGGATGCTACGACAACATTGTGTAGTCTTACTCCCTTCTCCACTCCGGGGAGTCTGTTCTGCAAGGTTCCTGCAGCCATCTGTTCCCTAGGCGGAAAACTCAATGCACAGGCACAAACACGCACACAGAGGGCTAATCCCAGGATGCACCCAGTCTACAAGAAGCAGCAGATCCTCCCTCCAACAGCTCCCCCCTCCCCCTTTGGGAGTGATACCAGATTACTCGTGGGTGGTGGGTGGCTTGAGAGAGAGAGAAAAAGTCACCGGGGACGTCTATCACCTAAACACGTGGGAGATTTCTCTCGTTCCTCAACAGACTTAGCTGAACCAAACAGACTTTTTAAAAAGGGCATCCCTATTACAAGTTAAAGATCGGAGAACGGCCAGGTTCCAGACTTTGCTTTCGAACGATCAGAATCGTGCAAACTCTGTTATTCCCTAATATCTACAGACCCCCCCCACACACACATCCTGGACATAAACCGTTTGAACCCTTCCCCTCGGGACGCTGCTGCAGGGCACTGCAGGCCAAAACAACCAGACACAGAGACACGTTTTTGTTTCCCTCCTGCCATCACTCTGATGAACAACAAATCCTCACAGCGTTGTCTTACATTTATCCAAGTTGTACGGCTATAGTATTGTTATTATCCTTCTCATTTTCTCTGTTACCCCCTTTTAGTGGTATCATTATTACGATTATTATTACTCTGTTGCTTTGCACGTACATTGAGAGCTTCTGCACCGGAGACAAATTCATTGTGTGTGTCTAACTACACTTGGCCAAATAAAATATTGTATTCTGTATTGTATTGTATTGCACTGCATTGCATTGCATTCTACATTCCAGTACATATTTTATTATTCTATTCTATTCTATTCTATTCTATTCTGTTCTGTTCTGTTCTGTTCTGTTCTGTTCTGTTCTATTCTATTATTTCTATTCTATTCTATCCTATCCTATCCTATTCCATTCTATTCCATTCCATATTTTCTATTCTATTCTATTCTATTCTATTCTATTCTATTCTATTCTATTCTATTCTATATTTTCTTTTTTCTATTCTATTCTATTCTATTCTATTCTATTCTATTCTATTCTATTCTATTCTATCCTATTCCATTCTATTCCATTCCATATTTTCTATTCTATTCTATTCTATTCTATTCTATTCTATTCTATCCTATTCCATTCTATTCCATTCCATATTTTCTATTCTATTCCATTCTGCATTCTATTCCATTCCATTTCATTCCAATTCTATTATTTCTATCCTATCCTATCCTATCCTATCCTATCCTATCCTATCCTATTCCATTCCATATTTTCTATTCTGTTCTGTTCTGTTCTGTTCTATTCCATTCCATATTTTCTATTCTATTCCATTCTGCATTCTACTCTACTCTACTCTACTCTACTCTACTCTACTCTACTCTACTCTACTCTACTCTACTCTACTCTATTCCATTCCATCCACAGGTCTTAGTGGCCACGCTGGGACACCCTTGCTGCACATGATCCACTAAAAAAAGAGAGTCGGAGAAAAACTCCACTGGATTACACACAATTCACATAAAACGGAAGACTCGCAGCCAACAGCTAGCCGGCAATGTCAATAAATAAATCACAATCCATTCAGTTCTCCAGACTCTTCAACCTTCTTCCTTCCCACCACACCTCTTGCACCTCCTCCTGTCCCCTGGGCCCTACTTGTGGTTTCTGCTTCCCCTGCTAACTCTTTCGCCTCCTGGTGCCTTGGGAATCCCTACCTATTTACTCAAACGCCATGAAAAAAAAGCCGTCCATAAAACCAGCTCCTTTGCTGGCTCTTTCCGAACGCCAGCCAATGTTCAAAGCAAAAAGGGGAAAAGGAAAAAAAAACCACCCCAAACTCCATCCCTCTGTAGATCAACAGAGGCAGCCTTTCAACCAGTTCCCCCCCTCCCCAAAAAAGCAGTCCCCCCCCTCCCCATTTGCAGAACAGAGCAGAATCGCACCTCGAGAAACTGAGTGTTTAAAAGAGAGGACGGCGGTGTCTCTAAAAATTATAACGGTTCCCTGTAACCATGAAACGCGTCCTGTCAACAAACAGAGGTGCCACACTGCCCCTTTTCTGCCCGCTGTTTTTATTTTTCTAAAATTAATTGGGTGCCAAAAGGAAGGCCGGCTTGCTTTTGAAGCAGGGCCAGACGGCATGGAAACCTCGGCCCGCCGAGCGAAGGAAACGCCCGACGGGGCAGAAGCAAATCATTTATCCCGCTTACCTGCAGCATGTTGAGGAGGAGACTCCGGAACTTGGTGCCGTCCACCATGAAGAGCGCCATCTTGTCGCACAGCTTGGCCGCCGTGCCGGCGAAGCTGCGGTCGCTCACGGCCTTCTGGTAGATGGTCCGGACGATCTCGCCCAGCATCTCCTCGGAGTTGGTGGCGTTCTGGGCTTCCTCCATGAAGCTGGTCAGCTTGGCGTCCACCCCGCTGCTAGGGTTATTCCGCATGCTGTTGAGAATCTCAATTAATCTGTCCATTTTGTTCCTGTGTGGGTCCGTGGACCCCACCACCCCTTCGTCCTGGTCCGCGAAAAGGGAGAGACAAGGCATCTGTTACGCAAGGGAGACACGGAGGGAGAGAGAGAAGAGACGGGAGATCAGCACTCTGCGACAAGCCACGACGGTTAGGAGGCATCAAACAAAAGCTGGCACAGAAGCCTACCTGCTCAACCTGACCAATAATAATAGTAATAGTAATAATAGTAATAATAATAATAATAATAATAATAATAATAATAATAATAATAATAATAATAATAATAATAATAATAATAATAATAATAATAATAATAATATAATAATAAAAGTTGGAAGGGACCTTGGAGGTCATCTAGTCCAACCCCCTGCTCAGGCAGGAAACCCTATACCACTTCAGACAAATGGCTGTCCGGTCTCTTCTTAAAGACTTCCAGTGTTGGAGCATTCACCGCTTCTGGAGGCAGGTGGTTCCACTGGTGAATTGTTCTCACTGTCAGGAAGTTTCTCCTTAGTTATAATAACAATAACAGAGTTGGAGGGGACCTTGGAGGTCATCTAGTCCAACCCCCTGCTCAGGCAGGGAACCCTATACCATTTCAGACAAATGGCTGTCTAGTCTCTTCTTAGAAACTTCCAGTGTTGGCGCATTCACCGCTTCTGGAGGCAGGTAGTTCCACTGGTTAATTGTTCTAACTCTCAGGAAGTTTCTCCTTAGTTCCAGGTTGCTTCTCTCCTTGATGAGTTTCCATCCGTTGCTTCTTGTCCTGCCTTCGGGCGCTTTGGAGAATAGCTTGACTCCCTCTTCTTTGGGGCAGCCCCTCAGATACTGCAACACTGCTATCTGTCCCCCCTCATCCTTCTCTTCCTTAAACTAGACATCCCCAATTCCAGCAACCGTTCCTGATATGTTTTAGCCTCCAGTCCCCTGATCATCTTTGTTGCTCTTCTCTGCACTCTTTCCAGAGTCTCAACATCTTTTTTACATCGTGGTGACCAAAACTGGATGCAATATTCCCAGTGTGGCCTTACCAAGGCCTTGTAAAGTGGTATTAACCCTTCACGTCATCTTGATTCTATCCCTCTGTTAATGCAGCCCAGCACTGAGTTGGCTTTTTTGGCAGCTGCAGCACACGGCTGGCTCCTATTTAAGGGATCGTCCACTAGGACTCCGAGATCCCTCTCACAGTTGCTACTATTGAGCAAGGTACCCCCTGTACTATACCTGTACATTTGGTTTTTCTTGCCTAAATGTAGAAATGTAGAACCCTTTGGGCAGAAACTCTGCACTTTTAATGCCCATATGGCAGACAGCAATTAAAGGGACGAATAATCCTAAAAAAAAATACTGGGAAGCTACGCCCGTTGAATTTCCACTCATCCTTTTCACGACGAAGTACACGATGAGATTCATTTTCGTTGAATTACTCATTCCATGCTGGGACCAACGATTAAAGCCCCCTCCAACATTAGAGGTTAAAATTGCATTCTAACTTTAATTCACTGTCTGTCTTCAGGTAAGTTGGCACAAGAAAGGAAGTTCAACGGTTGGTTTGTTAAGGTTCATGAACCGGTGCCCAGGACACTGTTTTAAGTGAGTATTTTGCTGGATCTATAAATGAAATTATTCCGGTCAAAAACTACGGTTAGCTCTGATCAATAGGAAGCAAATGCAACAAATAATATAGAGTGACTCCTACAGGTAGAACGTGGTATCACAGGACATTGCGCTGGTTTTGCTGAAGCAGAAGAGAAATTTAAACGGGGACGCTAAATGACAGCAGACTTTTTCAAGACAAAACAAAGCCAAAAAGCAATATTTTTTTGCAAAGTTGACAATATCAATAACAATATATATTAGTAATCCATTTCTATTCGGCTTTTCTTTCTGGTGTCTTGCGTGATTTCCCGGCGACAAGGCCATGAAATAGCTAACTCAGTGCCCAGGGCCTTCTCTGCAGTGGCTCCATCCCTGTTGCTTTTTCTGCAAAATCTTGAAAGAAAAGGGACCCCCCCCCACACTCGTTGCCGCCATAGGGTGGGCAGTGGGTCGGTTAAATGGTGAATTTTAAACTCTTGGCTTTTAATGTTGTACACTACCTGGAGTTACTCTCTCTCTGTGTGTGTGTGTGTGTGTGTGTGTGTATGTGTGGGTTGGGCAGTTATATAAGTTTGTTTAATGACTAAATAAGGAATGTACAACATAGCAGATGCATCTCAATTTTGCTGATGAGAACATGTCAAGGTAATGATTTAGAACAGGGGTCGGCAACCTTGGCTCTTTTATGACTCGTGGACTTCAACTCCCAGAATTCCTGAGCCAGCCATGGCTGGCTGGCTCAGGAATTCTGGGAGTTGAAGTCCACGAGTCATAAAAGAGCCAAGGTTGCCTACCCCTGATTTAGAAGCTAACCAAGCTTGTATAATGTGAAATGAATGATGCAATGTTAGGAATGACTCAGCAGGCGTCTGTATCCCTTTAAGAGCTTGAGTATAAAAGGGATGGCCTTGCTAGATAGTCTTTCTCTCTCTCTCCGTTCCCTGCTGTAATTGCTGTGTTAGAGTTTGCTGAATGACCACCTGTAGGTCTCTTGTTTCTAGTGTATATTTGTAGATAGTGTAATATAAACCACCATTTAGTACAGACCGCTGTTTACTGTATTTACTCCTGGGTTGCCTCAGTGCAATAAGACTGTGCATGCTGTGACAGAATATCACCCATCTGGGTTTAAATACAGGTAACAGAGGTGGCGTCTGGTGGAAATAACAAAGTATTCATAGGAGGGAATCATACACAGATGACTTCAGAGAACTGTATAGGTTTAAAGCACTCATTTCTGCCAGTCCTCTGCCCCCCCCCATTTTTTTTCCATTTGGGAGGATTTAAGGGCAAAATGGATGCCTCAAGCCCTCTCAAAACTCTTATTTTGGTTCCGCTTGTTCCAGTGACACATCACGGTCACAAATCCTCAAAAACAAGGTCAGTGCAACTCCCTGACACAAGAAACTTGCAAATGTCTGATGCTTTGGTTGCTGAGGAAGTGAGTGAGGGGAAAAAAAAAAGATGGATGTGAATTTTGAGACCGGGATCTTTTTTCCCGTTAGGAGGGATCAACAGAATGGAGGAAATATGGGGGTTTTTTTTTCTTCTCTTTTTAGGGCTATATTAACGAGGAAATATAATACATAGAGATGAAATAAAGGTAAAAATGAGTAAAGTGGATTGGAAAAAATGAATTAACAGAGATGCGGAAATGGGACACTAGGCTTGTGTTAAGATTTGGTTTAGGCTGATGTTTAAACTAGAAGTTAATTTTTGCAGTCTGGTTGATTAGTTTTTATTTACATCCTACCCTTAATTATGGGGTTTTTTTTATAAATAATTCAAGGCAGCGAACCTATCTCCTCCCTCCGGTTTTCCCCACAATGGTGAGTTGAACTGAGATAAAAGGGACTGGGTCAAAGTCACCCAGGTTTTCAGGGTTCAGGCGGGACTAGGACTTAAAACTCTCCCCGGGATTGGCCCAGTTACCCATCCAGCTTTCATGGCTAAGTTGGGATAGATCTGAGAGTCTCCTGGTGATTGGTCCAAAGTCGCCCATCCAGCTTTCGTGCCTAAGGTGGGATTAGAACTCATCGTCTCCCGGTGACTGGCCCACAGTCACCTAGATCAGAGGTCCCTAACCTATGGGCCACGGCCGATTGCCAGGCCGTGACCTCTTGGCCGCATGAGTAGCTGGGCAGCGCATGTGCGCATGCTCATCCCGGCTCGTGCCACTGTTGCCGCTAGTGTTGTGTGGGCAGCGGCAGTCTAGTATCGCATGGCGGTGCGATTCTCGCAGGGAGGCACGATCCTCGCACGGGGCAGCAGCGCAATCCTCTTGCAGGGACAGCATCGTTGCGGGCTGCGGCACTATCCTCGTGCTGGTGGTAGCATTGCTGCAAGTCTGGCAGATGCGGCGCCACAACCTCACACAGGAACCGCCATCACTAAGTGCCTCCTGCGCATGCTCACAGCCCCGCTTGCGTGGTGCGCATGCTCGCAGCCTGTTTGTACACGCGCACGTGCGACCACATCCATGTTTGCGCCTGCGCGCGTAAGGCGCCTGCCCCTCCCTCTCCCACCGGGCCGCCACCCCAAAAAGGTTGGAGACCCCTGACCTAGATGGCTTTCATGCCTAAAGTAGGATTAGAACTCAGAGTCTGGTGCCTTAACCACCAAACCAAACTGGCTTTGAGAATGACGGATAGGTATTTCTGAATTAATAACTGGACGGCTGGATTTGTTGAAGATTACAGAAATATTGTAGAGGTTTCTAAATTTGAAGCTAGTGATTGATTAGGTTTAGGTTTAATTTAGATATTATATATTTGCACCGAGAAAAGACGAATGCCTTCCCCTGCTTTTCTCCTTTTTCTACCACTCTTTAACTCTTTAAAGTCCTTTTGAATTTTCTCCCTCCCCTGTTTTGGGTAGCCAGTGTGCGTTTTAATTCTTTCTGAAATTTCATAAAGTGGTATTAAAGAAAATAAAAAAGGGACCTGAGGGGGGGGAAAAAAAGCAACTACCTTCTCTTTTAGCCTCCGGCGTAGCCTGTCCTTGGAAGACTGCAGCAAGTTCACTTTGGGCCTCTCGTTCTTCCGCTCGTGGACGCCGTCCTTCCGCTTGCTCTCGGGGTCCTGGAGATACGGCGGCGAGGGCCTCTCGGTGGCGTCGTGGTTGCGATGCATCTCCAGAGGGATGTGCACCGTGCAGACGGAGGTATCCTCTATTTTCAGATGCTCGGTCTCTTTGGCGTTCCGGTGCGTCGTCTCTTTGTCATTGGGAGAGTGTTTCTGGTTGTGGTGCCACCGCCGGTTCTGGCTGTAGCCGTGGTGGCCACATTGCCCCGAGGCGTGGGGCGCCGGGCCTCCTTGCGAGGGTTTCTGGTGCTCTTTGTTGTGCTTGGTGGTGCCTTGCTGGTGTTCTGGGTGCTGCTGTGGTTTGTTCCCCCCAGGAGCCCTTTGTTTCCTGAAAAGCCAAAAAAGGAGGGTCAGCAGGGGTCTCTGTCAGGGGAGGTCTACGGAGATTGTCCCAAAGGTGCTTTTTGCAGAGGCAACTGGACTTTGTTTTTCTTTGCTGCTCCTCCAAGAAGCTTCTTCAGCTCTCACTGGTTGGTGGGGAATAGAAAGATTTATACTCCTTGTAGACAGCTGGTCATTTGCATCCTTTTTAGAGAGTCGTTGAGGCCACCTGGAGGCTTATCTGTGTTGTCTTGGTCCCCTGAGTAGTGCAAATGGAGGTGGGGCCTTCTCAGTCCTTTCAGCAGTTCCAAGGAGGCTCCACCCCTATTTGCACCACCCGGGTGACCCCAGGGACGCAGATAAACCTCCAAGTGGCCTCAACAACCCTCTAAAACAGTGGTTCTCAACCTTTTTAATGCCGCGACCTCCAACCGGTCGTACGTCGAGGACTAAACCGGTCGTAAGTCGAGGACTAAACCGATCGTAAGTCGAGGACTAAACCGGTCGTAACTCGAGGACTAAACCGGTCGTAAGTCGAGGACTACCCAACCAGTCGTAAGTCGAGGACTTTCCCTGCCCGGGAGCGCCGCACATGCGTGGTTCCGCCCCCTGCGCCGGCCGAGGCGTAGCTGGCAAGTGGCAGAGACGGAGCAGGCCGACCACCAGCTGGCCCAGCCCAAGGGAGGTAAGGCACCCGCCGGAAAAAGGGAAAAAATGGCGGACAAAAAAAATGGCGGACAGCCTTGCTTGGCGACCCCCGTGAAATGGTCGATCGACCCCAAATGGGGTCGCGACCCATAGGTTGAGAACTGCTGCTCTAAAAGAATGCAAATGACCAGTTTTTCTGCAAGGAGTATCAATCCTTCCCTTCCCCACCATCCAGTCAGAGCCGAAGAAGCTTCTGGGATGGGAAGCGAAACGTCTTCAAAGAAAAACAAAGGAAGTCCAGTTGTGTCTCTTGAAAAAAAGCACCTTTGGGATGGATGTCTGTCTGACCGTGGCCATGAAATGGGCCTCCCAGACATCACTCCCACAGCACACCCTGCGTCACAAAATATCTGTGTGAATCCATCTGAGAAACAATACAGGTAGTCCTTGCTTAGTGACCGCTGGGATGCTGTGACGGTAGCGAAGTTCAAATTCCAGTTTTAACTCGTTGCAGCGCCACTGTAACTTCGAATCGTTGCTAAATGAATGATGGTTACGTCAAGGGCTGTTTCTAGAAATAGAGGTAGT